AAGTCAACAAGCATTAGGTCTCTATAGTTGAGTTTCTGGTTATTGTTGCATAACATTTCAGAGCAAATAATCTCAGAGAGCTGACTGACAGATTGGCATGTTTACCTGGGCATGCATCATGACAATAAAGGATCACACACACGCACACACGCACACGCACACACACACACACGCCCAAAGATGCACGTGACATTTCAGTCAGATGACAGAGAAGAAGAAGAGGAGAGAGCTGACATTACAGACAGTCATGATGATCCCTTTCAACATGGAGCTGTTATCACTCATTGATACAAAACTTGGTATCATTTTGTTCTGTTAGCTATAAAATCTTAACCTTTAACTGGAAATATTACTAAGTTTAAGATTATTTGCATGTGAGGAGACCAGAGGAGGAGTTTGGCCTCTATAAATGAAAACCTACTTGGAAGTTGTATTTCCTTGGATTTAACTGACTCCATGGTGTTCAAGCTGAGTCGTTCCTTCTCGGATTTATCCTTTTTCCTCTCTGGATCTACACTTGGTGCAAGACTGGAACCAGACTACCGGTGGTCTGTTTTCTTCATCTGGATGCAGTGTTTCACAGCAGAGTGAAATACGTTAAATTGATGATCTGAAGTGTGAAGGATACAGATTATAGAAGCGTTATCAATTTTATCCACAACAACAAAGTCCTTTAGTTTGATTTAGCTGAATAAAGTGCCAGTATATATTTTAGAAAGAAGAGATGTCGTGGGAAAAGGTGTGATTTCTCAATTTCAAAACAAAGCTCTTCTGGCCTGGTTACTTTTGTAGACTTTTCTCTTGCACCTCACGACAACATCAGAGCTATAAACTTTCTGTGCACCATGCAGAACAAGTCTTTTCTGCAGGCTCGTTGTGACGAGCCCATCATGACATCAGACTGGGGCTTTCTTTTGCTGCTGGCTCTGCTGCTGCTGGGGCTTCTCTACGTCTTCCTTTATCTGCCAGCTTCAGCCCAGCGAGCCCTGCTGGAGCAGGCGCTCAGCAGCAACAACACCACCGCCGCAGTACCCACACCCGCCAAGGAGGACTGACTCACAGATGGATAAGACAGATGGAGAAGAGCTTTTTCAGTGTACAAGCAGACATGTGACAGTAGCGCAGTGATAGACACTGTCCTTGAGTAGATGATGTGGATTATTCGGCTCTCAAGTGTGATTTGTATTGTCCTGTAGGACAAAATTATCATATGAAGCAGATTGTTTTGGTTGCTGAGCAGTTCCAACTCACTCAGTGATAACCTTGGCATGTGTAGAGCTCTATTTTTTAAACCGCACTCCCAAAACTATCCCTTTGCCTGATTGTATTTTCAACTACTCTACAAATGAAAAATGGCAAAAGAGGATTAAAAATATTATTTATCCCTGGTAACTGCTGTTGACTACTACAGAGTATTTAAAGCGATTACTGAAAATTAACTGTCCAGTTGTCTAACGCTGTTCTAGTAGGCTCGTCAAAATAGCATTGTTTCACACAAATACACATTTAAAGTTACACACAAATATGGTTATTTGCTTCCTTGCCAGAAGTTCGACAAGACAATTGATACCACTCTCATGTCTGTACACTAGATCTAAGGCTACAACCAGCAGCTGATTGGCTTTGGTAAAGCTAGCCCAACTTTTAGGCCATTATACACACAACCTGCTGTTTTTACTCTTTTATATCAAAAAACGAGATAAGGTGTTAAGAACTTTATTGGTTCATATAGCTGGATTTTTGTCTGCGATGAACAGAGACCGGTTAGCTATTCCCCCGTTTTCAGGCTTTGTGCAAAGCTAATCTAACCAGCTGTTGCTTCATCTTTAACACCCTGACATGAGAGTGGTACCATTATTTTCTCATCTAACTCGTCATCTAACTCACTGGAAGAGTTTACATCATTTGATGAAAACATGACAGTTGTCCAGAAAAAAAAAATCATGCCTGAAACATGTTTTGAATCTAATTGTTCTCTGTCTCCATCATTCTGAAACAGATTCTGACTGACAAATTTTCACTATTGTCACATGAAAAGAGGCAAAACTCAAAGAAAATATAAAACAAAAGGAGTCTTAATGTTTCTGATCATAAACTAAAGATGTAAAAATGTTAAATATGAAATGCATATCTTATTCTCTTATATCTGCTCCACCTCTGCTCTCCTTTCCTCCTCTTTTCTTCAATCCTGTCTTGTTAACACATTTTCATCTCCTGTCTATGGAGGTAGATTTGTCTCAATTATATTTCCGTCAACAGATCAGACAATCAGGGAGTAAATGTATAATCTGTAAATATAAAACACCCACAAATAAAAAAAAAAAAATGTGTAAACTCATAAAAAATATTTTGCAAATATAAAACCAATCTGCAAATAAACAAACTAATTTCAATTATAAGTGTTGTATAACTCTGGTGATAATAACCTGTTATGTCAGACTGTAGCATGGAGGAGGCACAGGGAATCATTTGCACAACTGTTACAGAAGCACCAACACCCCAGTGTTTCAGATAATGAGAAACAATTAATACTATTTGTATTGTCAAGTTTAAAGTGCGGGATATTGTTTCTTTTAATGCCTTGGCAAAGGATTAACAAAACTTCGACAAAACGCTATGAGGCATGTTAAAAATCTTCACCCAGCACATTTCTGTGTGTAACATTTCACTTGATACACTTGTACACTGCAGTTTAATATGTAATTCTTACCATATTTTACACCATGCTAATAATGTAATGTAATAAAACAGACAATAAAGAAGACTGATTTCTCTAATTTCTCTTCTGTTATGTGTTACTTTCAGGTTACACACAGGAAATTCACAGGCTTTTGTTGGTGTCATTCTAATAATTTCCTCTTTGATTGGTAAGTGCAGGACAAATACTTCAAAGGAGACATCCGACTGGTTGTTTGAACTGCCTTTATTAAAAGATACAGGATACTAGACTTGACACCAATATTTGAAGATGCAGCACTTGATTGTTACAGGCTCGAGGCATTAGACACAGACAGAATTTTCCAGCTATCTGTGCCTTTAAAAATATCCCTGTAAATACTGTATCTGCAGTATCTGGCAACCATTGACATCTGGATATTGCGTCAGTATCTTTTCTTTTTTTAATCACATTAAATTTTACAATAAAGTTGTAAAAAAGGAAGAGAGAATCTTGTTAAACCATGCAACACCCAACAAGCCAACATTTACAGTTAGTCTTAGATCACAACGATTTCAAATGGTATTTCAATGTTCAATATGCTCAGCAACAATGACAATATCATATCCAAAGACTTAACACAATAATGATATTTTTATTTTTTAAGGGGAATTAATTCATCCCCTGATATACTTCTCTGACAGTACTCCATTGTCTTCCAGCTACCATCTTAAAATGTTTCATTAAAATGTTCAAAACTGATTTTTATTCACATCTTGTGTCCCTGGTATACGAGAGAGAGGTTTAGAAAGGGCTAATTTTGTTTATTTTTACTGAGTGAATAGTATCAAACCCTAAAGGACATACATGCATCTCTTTCTACAATATACACAGTTCAGTTACAGTCTTTAATTGGTCTGCTCTTTCAAAAAGCTCCACAAAGACTCGAGAAAACTGGTGCTTTGAAAGCAAACACAGCTTCAAAAAATAAAAAAAGTTTGATAAAGTCCAAGATCTTATGCATGTAGTGCACATTGGGAGAAGAGTACAATCTGAACTGTAACAAAACTGTAGTTGATTATGTATACTGATGTAAAAAATTAAATAAAATTGTGTGTTTGATTTGTGTGTTTGACTGAAATAAAAAGGTCATGGGAAAAAAACAAAAATCATTACAAAAAATATTAACATCATGATATGAAAGGAAGAGATAATCAATCAATAAACTAATCAATCAGTACCCTATGGCATGGAATAAACAGATATGCTGTAAATAAAGAATTACATAAAGAAAATACATGAGCTTACCAACATGTAAAGTTACATTCCTGCCTCCCAAAAACTTCTTTTCTATTCCTTTTATAATCTAAACCGGGTTTTTCAAAGTCTGACACTATGGGCTCCACCTCAGACAAAACTGAGACAACTGGATTTTTCTGTGGGGGATAATCATGCTCGAAGTTTTGGAGCTACAGCTACTACAACTACAGGAGAGTCTTTTTTCCTACAATTTGTAAGTGGCTCTATGGACATTTATTTGCGATGAACATCTTTGGGAAGTGTGTGTCACACTGGATCTAAAAATACGTGTATCACATCTGTGTGTTTACATTTGACTAAGTTATGACTCAGAGAAGGAGCGCAATTTTTCGATGCAAATTGCGGCAGTCGGGTGCTAAGGGTTTTAAAGTCCCTGAAATGCCTCCATGAGCTGTGTGTCGCAGCCTCTGCTGCAGCTCCACTTGATCCGAACTACGAGAACCAACTTCCCATTGTTTTTAAAACACCACCTCACATAATATCTTTCCCCTGTGTGTCTCCCTCTACGACCCCACCTCAGCTCTCTGTTACTGGTGAACCTTTTCGTTAAATGTTCCTGCTGAGCATCATGATGCCCCCCACATTCATATAGATCATCTCTTCTTTCTGGGAAAGTCTGTTTGACAGATACTGAAGGTTTGTAAGTGTACTGCACACAGTTCAGGGCATCTTGTTTCCATAAACTGAACAATGTCGCAGTTTATCATGACTCTACAATATTAATAATAATATAGGAATCTTACAAACTACTGAAAACAGCTACAACAGCAGCTTCTGCAGCTCGCTGATGCGTGTGTTTCACTTTAGCTGTAACAAGTCATTCTAGGACTTTGCCATATTGTATTTCCCTTTGTACCTCAAGTGATTTCCTTTAATTGCCTGCTTTTCAGACCATCCACTGCTGCTGTATGAAGGTATGGATACATGACAGGATGAGGAAGAAGGAGGGGAGGGGGGGGGGGACTGAAAGTAAACGGAAAGGGAGACTCCATCATGTGGATAACTTAGGATGGATGGTATATATTTGTAGATATAATGCAGACATAAAAGGCTGGAGGGATGGGGGGGGGGTTCTCTCCTCTAAAAGTCCCAGTTGCTCTCAGGTTTCAAGAGACCTGCATTAAACAGGCAGGGAAGAAAATGTAGAAGAGAAAATAAAGTGGAAGGGGAGGAGGAGGAGAAGCAGAGCCTCTTTGTTTTGGCCAGTGCAAAGGCTGCTCTCACAAGACAACGTGGAGGTGGGTTAAAGAGGGGAAAGAAGAGAGGGAGGTGAAGAATAGGCGTGAAAGAAGGGAAGAGAGTAGCGTCATCCCTCTCTCTCTCTCTACCTCTATTCATTCCAGTCCTTCTTGATGTCGAGGTTCCACTCCCAGGCCAAGTAGATGTTCTTGTCGTCGTCGATGAAGCGGGACTTGATCTGATAGTGGCCGCGTGACATCATGCCTTTGGGTGCCTCGTCACTCGGGCTTACAAACTCATGCTCCTCCGCCCTTGGACCGTAGCTTCCCACCATGTACGACACCTTGTCCACTGCAGGAAGATACCAAATGGACACTTAGTAACCTGGGGCCGTATTCATCCATTTGCGTGTTGATATTGTGATACTTTTCTGATGAGTTTACCAGATAATCTCGCAACGGCCTTGGACTCAGCTTTATTTATTTAATTCAGCTGGTGATTATATAATTTACTCTTAAAGTAAAGCCCACTTGATGAACAGCCTAATTATAACAAATGGCTGAGATATTCTGAGTTAATCAGCCCTGCAAACAGCATTTTTCCAGTTTTTCCTTTTTTTGTCACAGTAGTGCAAAGTAGCAGAAACAGTCATCGCCAGTGTTATTGCTGTTTATATTTGGATTGTTTCAAAAAGGCTCATTGCCCACAGCAGCTGACTGCAGCTTCACTGGCTATGAGGAGGTCTCAGTGACTTAGGAGTCCTCTGGGCCGCCTCCTGCCTTTGTAAATTAGTGTCAACTCAAAGTAAGGTAAGTAAGTCTCAAAGATAGGACTGACACACGGATGTTTCATGAAAATGGCCCCAGGGCTTTATCAAAGTAATAAAAGGGTAATTTGGGGCTTCAGTGACAGATATAAATATAAATCAATTTCTGTTACTGCTACTTGCAAAACACTAAAAATAAAAGCCATTCATCCAATATCTAACTTAAAATGCTCTTAAAATTAAGAGACCTCAAGAGTATATAGTTTGTTCAGAATAGATCCTCTTTGACTGTGCTACAGAGACAAGGTGGGAACACGCCTTGTGACCCATGTTTTGAAATGATTGCCCAAAAATATGTTTGGTCATGATGAGTAATATGTTTGACGATGCATTATCTAATAAAAGAATAGGGTAATTTTTCTGTTGTTAATTTCACATAATCTCTTATGAAGATATTTAGGATTTAACACAAACAAGCTGACCTTTTAAAAACTAAAATTAGATTTGTTCTTGTAGGAGAAAAACACATTCCCCAATAAAATGTAATGATGTTTGAACAATGGGGCAGATGTAGGGTTAAATCCTCTGATTGGCTATTTCTGCTCTGACCACATGTGATTCATCATGTGATCACTTCAGAGAGACTCATAAAGGCTCCTCCTAAACCTCTCTGTGACTAGGAGTTAGCTGCTTGATTAACTTGTCTTAATATTCACACTCAGCAAAGAAATTTTGTACTGCTCATTTGGCTCTTTAGAGGACGGCTAAGTGGAATTCATATAAGTTTGATAAATACAGGCACAGATTTCATAAGATAGGTTCAGATTAATTTACACTTTCTTGTTGAAAAGTCATGTTCCTACTTGGAAAAATAAGATCCAGAAGCTAAATGTGACTCACCTGCAAAATAAATGGCATATTTTAGGTATAAATGGGGAAACTGTAGGTCATGAAACACTTTTTCTCTGAAGGTCAAACAGTAAATGACACAGATGTATAAATGTCTTCTCATATGCATAAGGGTAGTTTTGTATTTAGCCTTTACAAAGTAAATTACATTTGGCATATGATGGGTGAATTTACCTCTTATTCCTTTCCTGTAGGTCACATGATGGTACCTCAAGCCGGCAACGATTTCTCTTTTCACCTGCAGACACACTCAGTTTCATCAAATCTTGGCATGGATTTTTCTCTGGGTTACAAATTCACACATTACAGACAATTTGCACTTTCCAGTTCACATTAATGCATGAGTTCAGGAAAGTTTGGGTTTTTGTTGGTGGGAGGAAAGTGGAGCATGCAGGGTGAATCCACACAGACACATTTAGAAGACGCAAACTCCACATAGAAAGAGGCAGTATCAACCATAATTATACATTCAATAACTTTATGTGAATTATCCAGACTAAATTTTTCATTTGTTTATTGTTTACACACATCACATGTTGAGAAAAGACGGCCAAGTTTAGGAAAACATTGTATCAATCATAGATTAGATCATCATAGATATCTATCATAGATTAGTGAGTTGACGTGTTCTAGATGAACCCTGCTGAACAACATGAGGGTTAAAATGACAGCAGTGAAGCCGTTTGTCCAGCAGGTGTCCTCACAGCAGAGCAGTGTGTCTCTCCCTGAGCCATTAGGTCATGCTCAGCACATCTCCCTTTCCCTTCAGGGCCAAGTCCCACGAGGACTGCCTCCAGTCTACTCACATGCACTAACACAAACACCCACAGCCATACAGTCTCTTCATTTCAAGAAAAATCTATATACTATACAGGAAACTGGCTGCAACTTACTTACTTTTTCATTTATGCCTAATTACTGTAAAAAAAAATTAATCTTGTTTATGATCAAATTGTCTTTTTTTTTTGCAGTGTTCACTCAGATGTTAGCGTCCTGTCCAGTACAGGAATATTTCCCACAATCTTAATCAACCTCAAAGCATTCGAGGAGGTTGTAGATGATGCAGTACTCAGCCTGTTCCTGAGTGTGTTGAAGTAGCTTCACTGAATTTTAGAGATATGAACAACTGGTTCCTAGGGATAACTCGAAACCTCTAAACTATTAAAAATCAGCCACTGGTGATATAGCTTGCATTCCTGGGTCGATATTGTTGTTTGTTGGTACATTTTTCTTATTCCAGTGGCTAATTGGGCAAATTTAGAAATATTTAATAATCCTTAATGTTATCATTGTTGCATAAACATCCTTTCTAGCCTCTGGGCACACTCCTTATCTCATGTATATCTGCTGTGAATTTCCTTTCAAAAATATGCCATTCTCCCTCGTCTGTGTTTGTTTATGGTGGTGTGTTTACATGAGTGTTGAGAGGTTTATTTGTGACAGAGAGAGGAAGGAAGGGGATGATGATGGAGATGTGAGAAAATGATGATGGGGAGAGAGATGAAGCAAGAGAAAGACATAAAAAGGGTAATGCTAGGCTGGAGACAGTGGCGTGAGAGGATAGTGGAAAATTTTGAAAGTGTTGTGAGATTTGGGATTGAATTGCAGCTATCACAGATTTTTGTTATCACACCTGAAGATAGAGTTGTGCCATAAAGTTGCACTGGGAGGCATATAGGGCAGTTATGTGGTGAGTCATTTGGGCAGAAAAGAAAAAGCACTCAGGGCAGCAGGCAGAGAAGTGGTGGTGGTACCAGTCCTGCCCTCGCTATCCTTCTGCAAACAGCTGTGCTGGGTTTTTGACTCTTTTCTACCTGTCTTACAGTGGGAACCAACAAAACAAGACAGCGTCTCTACAGAGTCTACAGCCAGGCTAACAGCCCTGTGAAGCTGTGCTTGAGCTAAATGCTAACAAGTCATCGTTTAGTGTGTTAGCATGCTAACATTTGCTAATAAGCACTTAACACAAACTACAACTGAAGAAAATGGGAATGTCATTAGTTTTGAGGGTATTTGGTTATAAACCAAAGTAACATTTTGAGCCGATGGTGGTGCCAGATGAAAGGTCTGTGGATCATCAAAATAATTCCAATTCATTCTGAGAGGACCACATTTCATGGCAATCCATCCAATAGTTGTAAAACAATTTTACTAAAAGCCACAAATGTCAACCTCATCGTGGTGGTTAACGAAAAGTCAGGGGATAACCAAAGTCATTATTGTGCCAATCCATCAAGTAGCTGGTGAGATATTTAACAAGATAAGTGAAAACTTTGACCTGCTGGTGGCTCTACAGGAAAAGTCAGGCGATTATTAAAGTCTTTAGGGTTCCTCCTCTTGGCACCATGTATGTCTATGTAAAACTTAATGGCAATGCAGGCAATAGCTCTTAGATATTTCAGTAAAGACAATCATGTCAACCTGCTCGTGGCACTAAAAGTAAAATTCAGGGGATTATAACCGTCAGCAGGCTTCATCCTCTGGGGACCATGAATGTTTTCCTCTCGCTAGTAGATGTTGAGACATTTGTGGACTAACTGACAGATACCTGGCAACTGTCGCCAATCAATTAAATTTAAAAGTAACGACTTTCTAATATTAGAAATGTAAAAAATAATAGTTTGTCAGACTTGAGAAACAAACTTACTGACATTAAAATTACGAGTTGCTTCTCTAGCATTGATCTTAACTGGCACTATAAAATGATATGATAACGAATATGATAATGGTCTTGTTTGTTATTGTGGTTTGACTACATGGAGGCTTACTCAGCAGGTTCTCTCTCCCCTTCTATCTCTATATCACTTACAGTTAATACCTGATTATCTGTTTGTTCATTTGCATCCATACACATACACACAGTAATCCTTCCATGCTATAATGCAAAATGAATCTCTCCATCCTTAACATAGCTCTATGGCTGCATCTCTCCATCTTACCTTAAAGTGTATCTTTAGTCTGTATTTCACTCCTTCCTGTAAGGAGAAGCTCTTCTCCTTCAGAGCGCTCAGGTCTCCTGCGCACACACAAAAACAAAACAACAATAAAATATCACTCATGGTCAACATGACACGTATTACATACATCATGCACAATGACTCACTATGCAATCACACTGCTGATGATTTACACATACGGAGAAACACAGCTTTCAGTGGCAGGCGTAATAGTTCACAATTGAAATAAGTACCAATAAAAATTTTCATCCTCAAATATTGTGTGTATTTGAAAAGGTGTATTTCTATTTTTATTTGACTTTTCTTTTTTTTAAGCAGTTTGTAGTTTTGTTTCTCTTGTTTTCCTCCAAACTTTTATTTATTGACTATTTTATTTATTGAATCTCCATATAAATACAAGATAACAAACAACATGCCAAGATTTATTATTATCATTTCATTTCATGTTTTTAAATAGACATAAAACTGAACAGATAAAAGAAAAAAAATTACAGAGAATGTCAGAAAGAAACAAAAAGAAAAAATACACACACAAATGGTGCCAAATGAGAAATAAAGTCACATGGCTACATGGGAAATACGACACAAATGGATCATGTACATTAACATATAATAGTTTTCCCAACAGCAGATAACAGAAATCATTTATGAAAATTCTTAGTTAGGTTTTATACAGTAGCAGTTGGAAAATGAAATACAGCATGTTTGCTTAGTGGTGTACGATATCATAAATGTGGCTAAAATTATTTAAATATACACGTAAACCAGGGATTTGGAGTGTTTTCCTCTCATGTTTCAGCTAAATAAGACGAATGGATGTCATACTTGAAGGTGTGATGCCTTCACTACAACTCTGACACACATACTGGTGATTTAGTGTTATTGGTGAGACCAGAATGGCTTCTTTGTACAATAAAATTGTCTTTGCAGTGCTGTGGAGTTGAATGGGTTCATATCGAGAGGAAAAAGCATCCTGGGCAATTGTAAAAGCACATAGCAATCAGAAATGCATCCACCGCCTAATCACTTTATATCTCAATTTAAACCCAACCATCAGTCCTGAGTGCTTCCTAATGGACAGAGAGAAACAGACGAGGGAGGAGATGAAGGAGAGATAGAGGAAACGGGGTGAAAAAAAACAGACAGCAGTGATGTGAGGAGGAAGAGAGGGAGAGAGGAAGAAGACAGACCGGAAAAGAAAGACAGTGACCGACAGATAAGATACGCACTCACACAGTGCAGGCAGTACACTGCACACTCAGAAAAACCATGTTTGGTGTTAGAGGTTTGATTCCCACTGGTGTTCCCCATATTAAATATATATGTGCTTGTGGCACATTTAGGCGCTTCACATAAAAGCCTCCAACAAACAGCATATTCCTTTTGCTGTATGAAAATCTCTTAACCCAGCTTATGTTGACTGTCATGCCTTAATTGAAATTCTACATGTCCCCTTGTAATTTGGAGCTTTATAGCACCACATGAAAGGCTTTAAATTCCCCATTAGATAAAATCAAAAATGTATGTCATCGAGCTAATAAAGCTGTTGCTCAGTAGCTGACATTTGGAGATTTTTCACTGCTCCATCTGTGTCTATGTCTTATTTCATTCGATCCATCTCCCTCTACAACCTCTCCCTTCTCCTCTCTCCGATTCCTCTCCTCGTCTTTTTTTCTCCTGTCTCAGGAGACAGAGAGGAGAGAAAAGATGCTGGCCTCCCCGGGGAGCGTCTGACAGAGAAAATAGGTCAGTGTGGAGAGCTGTCTACCTGTTCTCCTCAGACACACACACACACACACATGGGTATGTACTCATGCAAGTACGCACGCAAGGATGCATATGCACAGGCACATCCACACACTGATTTTCCATCTGAACCTTGTGTTTGGGAAATATTGTACTGGAGCCAGAAAAGCCTGAAATATTAGAAAATAAATTAACTGAAAAATCCCCCTTACACCATGTTAATTTACTTTCTAAACCTATCCAATAAGACATAACACAAAAAGACAAATATTTTGTTTTCTTTGTTCCATTAAAAAATCATATTTCTTGTGGTAGTGGCATCATGGAGCTACCAGCAGACATGCATTTAAAACCTGCAACTTTACGTGTGATAAAAAGTGTCACCAGAGTCAAGTAAATTCAGTATTTATTTGGGCTGCACATAAGGATGTCTCAGCACAGCAGACCTCACTTTAAAGGAGACAAAATAAAATAAGATAATAGAAATAATAGGCATAATACGATTTATGGGTTAGGTTTAGGTTAGGGTTTAAAAAAAACAAATTTATACTATAGAGATATCACATGAGCTTTGTACTATGGGGAAAACTTCTACCTCGCTGCATTAATCTAACAGCTACAGTTACTGGTGGATTTCAGAATAAAATTATCAGTGAAATACATGATCAGTTTATATAATATGATGCATTATTGTTGATTTAACTACCCAACAGAATAGTACTGAGTAGTAGCTTCACTATGATCAGCGACAACATAACACGACAAAGAATCTACTGTCATGGAAGCAGCTCTGTGAGGCTGTACCTTGGCATAGCGGTGCTATCAGCTAAATGCTAACATCAGCATGCTAACATGCTGATGTCTAGCAGGTATAATGTTTATCAGGTTAGTTTAGCGTGTTATAACATTTAATAATCAGCACTAAACATGAAGTAGAGCAGAGGCTGATGGGAATATGTATGAAATAGTTTTAGGTAATAAAATATTTGACAAACTGACACTATGTCCTGATGGTAAAAGTCTTTAGGATTCATCCTCTGGGGACCATGGAGTTTTGTACCAAATTTCCTTTATATCCATCTAAAAGTTATTAAGATATTTTAGTCAGCATTAAAGTGGTGGACGGCCGTCTGACAGCTGGACAGACTGACACAACCACGCCACTAGTTAAAAACGCTGCCTACATATAAATATATCAGTCGTAACAACCCAATATTATAAAACAGATAATAACTGCACACTCTAAACAGGACCATTCTGTATAATGAGGATTTTAACTCTGATAGATCAGTACACGTTTAATCATAATCCTTCTGTTATTTTATGTAAACAACTTTGATGCAGGGTTTTTACTCGTAATGGAGTATTTTACATTGTGATATTTATACTTTCAGTTTCATAAATGATCTGAATACTTCACCAGCATTCATCAGACTATGGTAGTTAACAGTATCAGACGTAGCAGTCTGATGATAAGTTTGATTTCATGTCAGATGAGAAGCTGTTAAGAACCTACATTGCTGCAGTTTCTGTGGAGTGATCAGACATTAACCCAAAGTGAAAAAGTTAATAAGACTTTTGCAAATGAGCAATAGGTTTATGGGAGACGACCCTCATTAAGTCCAGCCGTGAGAGGGAGATTAGAAACTGGCCTGTAGTCAAAATATTCATCCTCTTTCTCTTCTGCTTTTTGCACATGGAGGGTTTCATCCTGCGCTGCTCAAATATCAGAGGTGACAGAGGAAATCCAGTCTATCATCAGTTCTTTTGAATTAATTTTAACACATTTTTTATTCACCCCCTGCACACTCTGGAAAGACCCCTCCAATTATTATGTGAATGAAACAAATGAAACATCCTTACAGCGACCACATATTACTGACATAACTCTAGACACACAACACAGAACAAACAAATCGCACAGTGAGGTAAAGATCAGTGACTGAGATAGAGAGGCTGCTCGGTGCGAGTGTGTGTGAGCGAGTTAATGTGTCGCAGCATGTAGCGTGCTCAGCAAAACAACCCTGGGAACATGAAAGTTTAACAAAGCCAGTGCTTGCATTTAGGGCACCAGAGCACTGAAAAGTCATAGTGCTTTGTGTAGTGGGGTTTGGCAGCAGGCAGCACAGTACAGCTTGTGACACACACCATTCTCTGAAGTCTTGATGATATGATATATGATATACAAGTGCTGTGTTAAACTTTAAAGCATAGAAATATGGTTGTGTGGTGTGTTATTAACTGAGGGATAGATTTTAAAAATCTTTGGATATTGTGTCATTTCAGAACTGAAATAGAACAGAAGTCCTGTCATTAAAACTCATACTATTGTCGTGGAATTGCCTCACAAATAATGGTTTACAGCACATGTTTTGTTGTAAAATGTAACAATCCTCTTGAAATTTGATATGTAACATATACTTTAAGCTGAAATAGGTCACAGTTCTATGCTTCCAGTATATGTTTTTTGCCTGGGTGGCCACATTGGGCAGTGAATTTCTATCTCTGGTTGTCTTATTGTTGTATCCACTGAGACACAGAAGTACAAGTTATTTTTGTGCTGAATGATGAAAAGCATTTTTCATTTTGCAGTGCATAAACATTCGGGCCATTGATCAAGACACAAGCAGCAGTAAGAGCTGAAATAACTGTAGGTTCTTGCGGAGGATTAATCTGAAAGCAAAGTGATAGTCTAATAGCAGTGGGCCTGCACTCTCATAACATTAAAGAGGTGCTGATAAGAAGGTAGGGATGTAATGAAGGACATCTAAAGCAGAAATTAAGTCATATATTCAAAATGAGGAAAAGAAAGTATCCCATAAATTGACTGAATGAATCTCATAATTTTAATATTCCATTTGATCAATTCAATGATTCAAACCCTTTCAAGCTCTGTCAGTGGATAATTTTTGGTGAATCATCCCCACAGAGAGAGCATTATCTAGCCTGCGTGCTAAAGGCAAACATGCATAAAGATGTCTTTCCTTCATATTCCTGCTTACATGCTACAGGGCATAGCATGATTAATGAGTGAAGGTTCCCCCTTCAACATAATGTGCCAATTTCTTATTTAGAGTACCGTTACAGTGGCTGTTTACAGAAAACAACAAGGTGCACTGAAGATGTTGCATAGTGCCACAGAAGGCCTGACAGTAAAAGAGAGTTGTGAGTTAAACTGCAGCAGAAAAGTCAAATTTCAGACTGGTTGTGGTCTGACCATCATTTATATTGGCCATGATTAAAATGTGCACACCAGAATAATTGCCTTGATTTGGGAGGCGAGAAGTCACATGATCAGATGTCAGGTTGTAAACAAACTTCCCAGCTGTATATGACAATAATTCCTAATATAGCTAAAAACATGACCTGGGCTAAGGCTGTACAATTTAACAAATTAAAAATCAATCACTTATTTTTAGTTTTAGCTTTAGTTTTAGTTAGCAGTGGTGACAGTGTTTGCTACAGGTCTGATAGTTCCATGAAACTCCACAAAAAAGGATTGAAATATCCCCTGCATCACTGTTGAAACAATCACACTTTTAATTTCTAGATGTATGAATAAATAAATTAATTAATTAAAATTAAAGATCTATGTAATGACATTTAGAAGATTTTAATTCCCTGCTTCTCAAGATTTTCAAGACTTTTCCTGCAGATAAACTATTCAACCTGTTAACAAGTTCTCGGATTTCTGTAACTAACCGTGAATGTTACTGCAAAGGAAAAAGGAACGATTGCTCAAACTACAAAAAATAAGATCGAAGACGTAATAAACTGGAATTATCCTTTGACCTAAAGGTTTTGGGATAGATTCTTATTTATCAACAAAGCTGCATGATCAGTCATGGGAGGCCCTGAATGTGTTTACTGCAACCTCATTAAGTAAATATATGTGCAAATGAGTGCTGGTATAAAATGCCTCAGAAGAAAAAGAAAACAATTTACATATAAACTGTAACTAGATCACGGATGCTCTCAGCAGTTGTACTGGCTACTACCACCTTTCCTCAGACTCAGAGGTTCGATGTACAGCAGGGAGTTCACAACAGATACTGTAGGTACCGCGAAGTTAAAGTTGAGACATGGACCCAAACAACCTCACTGAAATTAAAGGTCTCTGATAGGACAACCAGTCCAGCGTGCAGTATGAGTTGGCATCTCCTTTCTCTTCTTCCCTTACACCCTGAGTGTTGAGCAATTACCTCTACTATGGTGGAATGTATCTCACCCTGTGTTTAGCCACCCCTTCTTCTCCCTCTCTAACATCAACACACACACACACACACACACAGCAGTAAATGCCCATCATCAATTAAGGCACCATGCTGCATTGGTAACAGCATATAGTATATAATGAGCTCTCTAATGCATTCAGCCACCGATGGAAAGTCCATTTCACATCCAGTCTGGTGCCGGCTCGGCTATCTGACTGTAACATGATATACCAGCAGGACCGATTATTACACTGTTGCTTACTCTATAGATTTATGATGGGAGATGCTTTTCTCTCACGCAGCATAAAGCAATTTCTCCTTTTTCTACAACACAAACACACACATGCATGTTCATCCTAATTAAACCAAATTAATTCAATAATTATTTGAACTCCTTCCAGGAATAATACCTAAAAGTTTTTCAGTTTTTTTCAACAATTGGATGGAAACACAATTTTTGTGGCACACTAGAAAACAGTGCTACAGTGAAATCAAGTCTAAAACAGTGTCCAGTGTCAAAGAGCATTTCCTGTATCGGGATGAAGGCTCTGTCTGCTAAGGAAGGAGGAAGAGCAGACACTGTATTGTAGGAAGTCAGACAATACAAAACATCACATTACGCTCCCAAAAGCTTCAACCATCACAATCTAATCATCAGAGGCCTGTTTCACTGAGCGATTTTCAAGCAGCGGTTACATGTAGACTCGTGGCAGCATCATGTTTCACAAATGGTCATTGTTCACAAATTCAGATAAATTTATGAGCCCACCAGGGATCCCCCAAGTATGCAGTTTGTTTTGATTAGTAAAACATGTCAAAACTAAGGACAGAAATTATCTCATGTTGCTAACTGCGGCTTGCATGTCGCAAATCTGGCGAATTATTTTTATTACAGTGTTACAACACTGTTACAGAATAACTATTAACAAATGAAATCAAAATTAAATTCACTGAAATGATTTCTACTCATTAGTGAAGCCTTGCTGAGAGGAAAATAAGACTTTAAGTATCGGTATAAACCTACTATATTGCTATGGTGCGATTTGTGCTCTTGCAAACACATGGAGGATGTGATCATACACAACAAAACAAAAGTTTAAATGTCATTTTAACATGCCAGAATTAAATAGCTCTTTCAGGACCATGGATAGCGCCACTCGACCAGGCATGCCAAAACAAATTGACCTATTTATAAACTTCAGTACTATTTAATAGAAAATAATCTCTAAATGCAATAGCACAACATGCTGTCAACATTAACATAAATAGGCTTGTCACAATATTGTCACAGGAGTGCCAGTGCTGACAGTGAAAGTCCATTTCAGACTGTTCTATAGTCGGAGTGGCCATTGGGAGCACTGAATAACATCCTGGTGGGTCAGTCAAAAGATCAGAAACACCAGCAACCAGAAATGAGACAATACGCTTACTGCAGCATGTCAGCACAACAATAAAAGCGCTGTTGAAAAATTAAGGGTTTCTGCCCGCTGAAACTTTAGAGGGCTTTTAATTTGAAACAGTTACAATAAGTGTCTCTATTAACGTGTAATGCAGTAACTTCAACTGGGCAAATGGGAGCGGATCAAAACGAGGCATCGTACTAAAATGTAGATATGACCAATTATACATATCAAACATAGGTATTAAGAAATCAAGCCTCAAGCTCAAATTAAGCCCTGTTACCTTCTGCATTTGATGGAAATAAAGGCCCCGGTCAATATTTGAGGAAATACGGCAGTTGAAAACTGTTGTGAATCTGCTGAAAGGCCCCCTGATTGACATAATAGAAACAGTTTGCGCCAAGCAACAGCCAATAGGAAAAGTTCAACACAAAGCCAACCAACCAATGGTGAAACTTAATCACTCACTCAGTCATGTGGCCGGTGGTCAGTCCAGCTAAAAATCAGCCATCTAAAGGTGGCGATGGCTTCTAAAAACTAAGCTCATATACTATAAAACTAGTTTTCAATAGCAAATATGTTTTAAATGCAGAGTATCTGTAGTCTGTTTACTGCCAAATCATAGTTATTATTGAATGTATATGACAAACATTCATGTTTTTCCTACCGTATGTGCACCAAGCAACTAAAACATGAATAACACTTTATGGTTATCTCTATGAAACTCAAAGTACTTAAGCATCTTTCATTAGACCCTCCCTGCCCATTGGACACCAATATTTCTGAAACTCCACACCTACAGTTACTAATGCAGGCTCCCTGTTGAAAAAGTCTCAACCGTAAGCTGAGAAGCCTTGATGACATCACTATGACATCAGCAGGGTTATTTTGTCAGACATGACGAAGCTTGTCCAGAGCCACAGAAGATATGCAACCATTTTCACAGACTGAGTAGTTCTCCTCATGAAGACTGAACTGGACGTCAGGTGTATAATCAAAGGAGTGCCCCTTCAAATTCCACAACACAGTCTTTGTGTTAAAAATCTGTAGTGCCTAAGCCCAACACCAGATCGCTCAAGTGATTTCCCATCTGCCTTTCATTTCCTGCATCTTGTGTAAGTGACACCAAATCTGAAAAATGATCTATCTGCTCTGGAAGAACAGTGTCCTCTTCACATTTCATGCAGTTCAGCAGATCTTCTATTACACACTGAAATATGCACATTAAAGGCTGTAAGGTAGTTTCCATCTCTCTGTGTTTGAATCAGAGCAAACTGCATATTACGAAGTCAGCATTGCCTAGCAACCAGGTGACCTTTCTTATTAGTCTAAGCAGTCTGTGATTGGGTCTTTTTGAGTAGGAATGTGTAATTCTGTGTGTGACAACCAGGAAAATCCTCAGACAAGGAAAAATCAAAGCAAACCCCGTATGCACTGAAATCAGAAAGAAACACACACACACACACACACACGCACAAATAGACAGACAACTGTTGTCCCTTTTATGAGACACGCCCTGGCACACAAGTCAACGACAGGTGTGAACACACACACACACACACACACACACAGAGGCTCACCGATTGATCTTTTCCTCAACTTTGTCCCCTGTAGGTAATGACATAATCTCTTTGCAGCCACCTGATTACCATGCACTGCAGACTCACACATGCACACACATAAACTTACAGACACCTCATTCCCCTTCCCTGCCTGTCGCTCTCGCCTGCACCCAGGGGAAAATGTCAATACTGCCCACTAAGCAAACATTTAGCTGTCTCTCCTCTCTCAAGCATGGACACACCCACTGCAGTCTTTCTGCACATAAACTGCAGCACAGTGGGGTGGGGGATGCCTTGCTCCAGAGCATATCAGTATATGAGAGGGTATGGCAGCACCGTACCACAGGTAACGCTAGCCAAGGGAATGCGAGAGTGATGAAAAGGAAGTGTTGCGTACCTGTCAGGTCCATGGTGATCGGTCCAGGAGCTTCATCACATAACAGGGTCAGTCTGGTCACCCAGACATTAGGGCCAGAGAGGTCTGGAGAAAAACATACAGTATTCACAGATTCACTTATTTTTCATTCACTCATTCTTATATTTGTTTGTTTGATCATTTTTTTAAAGGAATAGTTCAACATTTAGGAAAATTAGAGTTAGATGAGAAGATTGATATGGATTATGATTAGTTTAGCTTGACAAAAAAGACTGGAAGCAGCTAGCTGGGTACATTATCTAACATGTGACATATAACCTATTCAATCCATACACAAACACAAGAGTTGTGGCTTTAGGGGAGGTTGTGTGTTAGAACTATTTTTTCTGTCTTTGTAATGATGGTATTAATGATTATGAGATCTGGGGAATAATATAAATGAGAGTCTACAGCCATGCTAGGGGTTTTGTGAATCTGTACTCATGAACATATGTTTAAAAATAACACATCTTAGTTTTATGTGTTAGCATGCTAACATTTGCTAGTCAGCACTAAACACAAACTGCAGCTGAGACTGATGGGAATTAGTTTTACATGTATTTGGTCATAAACCAAAGTATCAGATGGCGCTAGATGAAAAGTCAGAGGATCATCATTAATTCATCCTGATGGGGAATATCCTGGTAATCCTGGTGGCTGACACAACTATGTTGGTATTCCTAGAGCCACACTGTTATACTGTTACACTGTTAAATTGGTTACAAAAATATTGAAAGTCAATGATAATAAAGCTGAAATGATATGAAAGAAGTTGCAGTTTTAGCATATAAATGTTAAATATCACAGTCTGTAAACATTTCAGCAACTGTCTTTGACGATAAATCCTCTCCTCTCTGCTTTTCACTGCTTTTCCCACTGTATTCGATGTTACCAAGCTGTAGATGTGGTGGTGTTGAGTTACAGCAGTAAGGGAGTCAGAGCTATTCTACTGATATCAGCTGTCATGGCCGGGCTGCTGGATTAGAGATGCTGAGGCAAGCAGGTCTGTTCCTTTGTGTGTGTGTGTGTGTGTGTGTGTGTGTGTGTGTGTGTGTGTGTGTGTGTGTGTGAGAGAGAGTGTGTGTGTGTTTGATCAGAAGTTGATGACTCCAAGGAACTATGTACCAAGTCGTTATATTGAGTGAATGGTATTATTAAAGCTGTAGTAACACTGGGTACCAGTGTGAATCACCAGCTCTTCTGTCACCTCAGGTAATCAATAACCACACACACACACACACACACCTGCTGTCACTGGACCCGTCCCCAGCAGGGTCTGCTTGTACTTGACCAAACTCTCGTCATCTTTATCCAGTTCCTGAATCTCCTGCAAAGACTTCAGAGCCGGAGGATTGTAGTTGAGGTTTCTCTCATCCTCTTCCTCCTCAATGGGCAAATCCTTTTTGTCAGCCATCAGACCTTCCAGAGAGAAGAGGGAGAAGACCATTAAATAAATACACTTACATGTCACTCTTACAGTTTATGGAGCTGGTTTTTTTAGACCAGGGTTTTTTGTCTTACAGACACACTCCATCGCAGAACTGAATTCACTGTTTCACTGAAACCATCTGTCATGTTCCAAATGTGTTCATTTTAATTTACTCTAAACTGGACTAACACTGTTAATTATACAAAAGCATACACTGTTTGGATAATTGTCATACACAATTGAACTGCCATTGTTTAGGTTGGTTTGGTCAAGTCTTCACTTATATCATCAACACTTCCAAGAGGCAGAAAAGGGATGTTTCAAACATTTATTCAATACTTAATGTAGCTAAGTATTTATCCATTAGGCTAGTTTTAGCTTTTTATTTCTATCTTAGCTTACTACTTCAATCTATTCTTACTTACAGGCAACTATAACTGTTTATTCATGCATTTTAGCTCACAATTACTTCTAGCTAGCCAACCCTTTCAACCATAGCCATAATTTACCTGACTCTTTTAATTGTTTATAGCATTACTTTTAGTCGACATTTTCAACAGTTTAACCATTATTAAACTATTATCAAACTCTTTCAACTGGTTATCCATTAGATATTGGTAGCTAACAATTACTTTTAGCTCACTGTTTTTTAGCCATTTGTTCATTATTTTTCACTTCGTAGGCTAAATAAAAGAAACACCTCCCAAATGCAATACCGTTCGACAGCACTGCAATCATACCTGCTCCAAAATGATCAGTAAGTTGAATCGATAGCTGTTAAAAACGTTTCCAACAAAAAGTGAACATAACCTTTTAGCTAGGTGGACCAAATACACTGGAAACTAAAGGAGCATTTTTCAAAATCAAAACATAATTTCTACTTTTTTCAATTAGCAATTTTTTGATACTCCCCCAATCTTTCCACATGCCTTTACTGACAACAGAAGTAACCATGGTTGGGAGTCACTAAACTAAAATATTTGATTGTCAACCACGGTGCGAGAAAATATGGGCAGTTGGACAAATGAATTGTTGGGAGTATAAACTGGAAGGCCGATAATACACATGGCTATGAAGTCATCTCAGTTTAAGATTGTTTTTTTTTATATCAAATAATTTTGATATGTATGCCTTATACATATAAAATAACTTTATATATCAAATAACTAAAAATAAAATAATAAATACTGACTTTGGTCTGACAGTAAGGAAAGCAACATTTTCAGCAGAGCTCATCAGCAGTAAATATTTCTGTTATATTTCAGTAACTCAGCCAGCACAGGCGAGATTGCTTACTGTCTGGGATAAGATATATAACTCTATGTAGGCCAGCTCCAGCCATCCGGGATTTGATTTCATCAGGGATTTTGATTCAATACTGAGTTTTTCGATAATGTGATAATATTCGATAATGTGTTCTGCGAGCTGAAATTTCATTTTAGCATCTCTACCTCATCCGCACCTCCAAAGAGTGAATATGCGCAGACTGGAATAGTTGGAATAACTGGAAGGATTAAAACTGTCAAAACCGTAATCAACAGCAGTCACAAGACAACAAAACAACAACTTCAACAACAACAGAACAGCAAAAACTTTCAGCTTGTATCACAATAAAGCCGATACATTTATACCAGAAAGAGAAAGTACAGCCCAGGCCTTTATTTCCCAAGATGCATCAACGGTAGGAATTGACAACCATTTATCATTTCCACCTTGAAAAAGGTTTTGAAGGTGTCAGGATCAGATGTTTATATGTGGAATGGAAATCAACTTAAAAATTTGCTTTACATACTAAGTAACCCATCAGAGTGATTATCATGTCAACATTTACTATTGTCATATTGCGGTTGACTTCAGTACGACATAAAAGCAGACATGATGCTTACTGTGATATGGATCATTTTCTACGATAAAACACTACATGGTTACGATCACAAATCCACAGTGCATACCTCAAGACTCCAGAAGACAGACACACACACACACACACACACACACACACACACACACACACACACTCTGTTGTAAATGTCTGTTTACTGTGCTGTAACAGCCTTGTGTAATAGCCTCTGGTTCTGTTTTTACTGTTCATAATGAGACGGCTCAGTGTACATCAGCTCAGAGCTGTGTGTGGAGGTAATTGGATGACACAGAGAGTACACAAACACATGAACACACTCAAATCTAGTCACAAACACATCTACCAGGTGCATAAATGCACACAGCCACAGTGTGTTAGGTTGTGAGTGGAAATCAAATGCGTTAATGAGGGATGTGATGACCCAAAGCAAGTCTCAGCACACATATGCACACATGTACCCGTGCACACATCTGTGTGTTTATAGCAGCACCCCACCCAGTCAGGGCCAAACACGGCTGCCTTTGCCCATCACCATGGCAACCCTTTCAACTCCCCTTGCACTGACATCACCTTTGCTGTGGACCTGTTTTATGTGACTGAATATACACAGTGGAGCGTTTATTTTCACTTGCAGCAAGAGAGATTCATGGTATACCAGTTTTAATAATCTCTATTCTCTCTCTCACACACGCACACGCACACGCACGCACACACACACACACACACACACACACACACACACACACTTGTAAATTACTATAAATCTATATTTAATGGGATGGTATCCTTCTTACTGGTTATAATCCCTTGGTTGTAGTTTTCATAGTGCAGATTGTTTTTATAATATACAGTAGGCTTTCTACTACAGTAAAGCAGATTTCAGAGATGAAGCTATAGTGGTCTGCTGTCATTAACATAGTGTATAGTTAACAGCGTGGAGCACTACAGCTAATGATCTTCTAGGGTTGATACATAGATGATTTTATCATAGGTCCTCACTTAACAGGTGATAAGTGATGTTTTAACATGGAATATTATTACATTTGTGTAGTATTTACAGGCTTATAACTGTGTCTCAGCAGTTTCTTCACAGAATTCATCCAGAGAAAGAAAATGAGTGTCTGAAAATGCTAGTCTGTATTTAACTATGTCGATAGCATCTTCCCTCATATTTTCTTTCTAACCTTTTTTCCCTATAATTGACAAGGGACACTGGGTAGGCACTGACAGGTTAGTTTCCTGACCTCACACTGTCTTCACTGGCTGATGGATAACCACTATCCCTACATAAGTTTCCTTTCTCCAATATTCCCACTGTTGGAAAAAAATGTTGAGAAAGCTGTTTTTACTCAACTCAACAACCTCTTGGATATAATTGAATTTTGTTCAGATTTCAGTCTGGCTTTAAACCGCATCACAGCACTGAGATACTATATACTATACTGCAGTACTGATTTAGGTAAAACATTGGTTCTGGTTCTGCTTGATCTTTCAGTATTTATATACAGTACTTTTGATGATAAAATATTAGATACTAATGCAGACAGGTTATGTTTTTGCCATTGGTGGCCATGAATCTGCACGGATCACTCAGAGAGATTTGAAGATTTGTGTTTCACCAGTCACAACAAATAAATAAGCTTTTCCCCATCTCAAATAAATAGAAGGAATTGGAGTTAAAGATTGAAACAAACTCATTCATGCATTTCTTCAGCTTATCTAAATCAGTTGTACAAATAAGGTTACCTTGCCTTTCTTTGCAGAACAAAACTGTTTAGCATAAGAACACACGTCCCCCTCACTGCTGCCATTAAGAAAGAGATCTATTACATGTTTTTTAGCAAAATGAAAATTCCAAGTTTATCCTTCATCATTCTGATATTAACAAATAGGCAAAGTTCTTTGAATCTGCATATTATATATATATTACTGACAACAGCCGATTAGCTGTCAAGATCTCAGGTGGTGCTGTCTGTGCTCATACATGGAAGAAATTTAAAGTATGAAGAAGTATATAAAGGAAGTTTAAGATCAGTCCAGGTGGCTCATTGAAAGTGCATGTTTGAATCAATCTTCAAAACCGTTTCCAAGCAAAGTAGCCAAAGCATAAATGTCTAGTTTGAAATATTACCCCGGAGATCTATTGCCGATTTCCCTCTCTCTCTCCTACACACACAAACATTAAACTCTGTAGTATGTCAGATATGGATGGTACATGACTTCATAAATGATTCACCCTTCGGTATTTACATATCAAACTCTGTAGTCCACCCCCACATGACGTGCACGCGCACACATGTACACACACTGCAGCGTAAACGTGTTTCTGCGGCCATTAAAACCGGTTTCCTCTCTGACATCTGAGAGCTCCTCTTTGATCTCCAGACTGCTGACCTGTCACAGTAACTGCATCAATTAACATGTATTTTAAAAGGCAGGGTTCGTTCCACAGAGAGGCAGCAGCTTGTACAACTGTACATTTAAATATGGATTTCTTTTGTTGTAGTTGTAGTGACAAGCCCTACAAAATTTCTCCTTTGTTCTCACCAGGTTAAATTACTTGAGGTAATGACTCTGTTAATGCCCCTGCAATTAATCTGATCTGAATTATTATTCTATTCTTGAAAAAAAGTTAAAAAATCTTGACAACTTAAAAAGTTTTGCAATTAACAACAGTCATCTAATTTGTTACTATGGAAGATTTTCAACTCTCTTTGCTGCTGGCCAAAGCATGAAAAAACATGCAGGGCTAAAACCCTCCATATTGTGTGAATTGAAAACAAGCTAACACTAGCAGTAAGCCAGCAGTGTGTGTGTCTGCTCATGTGCATGTGTGGACATGTGTGTGTGTGTGTGTGTGTGTGTGGTCTTTCAACTGCTTCAGCCCCCATCTGTGATGTGATATTAACTGGTGCATTTTCTTAGATGAAAACCACATCACTAAGCCAGTAGCTTCTCAGACCTCCTGCATCATAACACACATGGCTACTATGAAATATGGAGACTAAGTGTAAAACAGCAACACAGAAATTTTATTCATTTATTTACCTTTTGAAATTTTACACTAAAAGAAAACTGAGAAGGGGCATGTGTCAAAAGAGAGATGCTGCTGGGAAAAAAAAGGGGCCA